AGAGAAAGTGTAAACAAGACTATTGTTTCTCTTTGATGGTAAATGATTTAAATATTTTCAATTTTAATATTTTTATTGATTTTATTTATTTATTTTCATATATATTTTTTAAATTGTTTAAGAGTCTTGAATTTTTTATATTCTCAGTCATAGAATTTTTTGTTCTATTTTGTTGATCATGTTGACTGAAAAAATAACAAATAAAACAAAATTTTTTAAAAAAAATGTAGACGTTATAATTTGAATTTTAAACTTATATTTTTATGAATTTTTTTTCATAGAAACCGCCATATAAAAATCTACATGTTTATAATGTGATTTTTTTTTTTGAAAGTTTTATTGATGGAAACATGTAGACATTATGATGTGCAATTTTTCAATTTTTCTTTTTCTTTTTTTTTTTTTGATGGATGAACCAATTCTCTCTTAAAGTCTTTATTTGTTATTTGGGTTCTAGAGTTGTGTTTATATATCAATTGTGATGAATTAATTCTTCACTTTTTTTTTTTCAGTTCTTTCTCTCAATTTTTTGGACTGAAACTTTTTCTTTCTCAATTTCTTTTTATTTTATTTATTGTATTTTTTATTATAAAATATCAATTGTGATGAATCAATTCTCCACTATTTTTTCCATTTCTTTCTCTCAATTTTTTTTGACTGAGTTTTTTTTTCTCTTTCTCAATTTCTTTTTAATTTATTATATTTTTTATTATGATATATCAATTTTGATTGACCAATTCTCCTTCTCTCAAACTCTTATTTGTGTTTGATATGTATTACTAGCTAAAACTTTTTCTCCAATTTTCTCTCAATAAGAAGTTATATTATAAGATAAGGAAATTTTAAAATATTTTAAAATTAACAACAGAAAACATATAGGATAGCTATAAGATTATGCACGAGTAACAAATAATTTTCAATTTATTTGTTATATCAGATAAGGTTCAATTTATTTGTTTATTTTTTATACTTATTGATTAACAAATTATTTGTAGATAATAAGAAGGTTTCAACAAATATTAAAATTGAAAAAATAATAATTTAAGATACCTTGAAAAATTATGTATGAGTGTAGTTTTAAATTTGATTCAGCAAATAAAAAATAAATTTATAGATAACAAGGAGGACACCAAAAGTTATTAAAATTAAAATTTCAATTTATTTGTTATATCTGATAAGGTTCAATTTATTTGTTTATTTTTTATACTTATTGATTAACAAATTATTTGTAGATAATAAGAAGGTTTCAACAAATATTAAAATTAAAAAAATAATAATTTAAGATACCTTGAAAAATTATGTATGAGTATAGTTGTAAATTTGATTCAGCAAATAAAAAATAAATTTGTAGATAACAAGGAGGACACCAAAAGTTATTAAAATTAAAAATAGATATTTATTTTTTATTTTTTTTATTTTTTTTGGTTGTGTGTTGAACAGATCTGCCGGGGATGTTTCGGAGTCGAGGAAACCCGATCCCCGTTAGGGGACGGGGGCGGGGGAGGTGAGGGGTTCCCCGTCGGGGATCGGGGGCGGGGACGGGGATTTTTCTATCTTCGGGGATCGGGGATGGGGAGTGTCATCCCGGCCCCGGCTCGGCTCGTTGCCATTCCTAAAAGACATTGACACTTGTGTAGGGACCAAAAGGGGATTTGAGCAAAAATACAGGGGGTTGACTGTCAAGATTTCATGTGCATGGATCAAAATGGGATTTGACTAGAAGTGAAGGGAGTTGACTGTCATGATTTCATGTGTAGGGCTAAAGTGTGCAAAGTGTAGGGATGCAAAGTGTAATTTACTCGGTTATTTACACTACAACAATTTGCACCTTCGGCAACTAAATTTGGCGACTAAAACTTTTTTTAGTCGCTAAAAGTCTGACCTTTACCGAAGAGTGTATTTGTAATTTACTCTATAAGTTATAAGTTTAAAACTTAGTAATTAAAAAACAAAAATTAAAACTATTTTTTAGATAATTAACTCATAAAAATTATTATTGTCTAATAAGTTATAATCAAAAACAGTACCAAGTAGTTCAAAATTTTTAAATTTTTTGTTGTACCTGATTGATGTCATTAAACTTAGATCTATAATTATTTAAACAACATGATTTACGGCTATCGCACTTTCATTTCATACAATTTGATGACTTGAGATTGAGTCATGCATAAGATAATCAAATTTTAATGAGTTAACTAAAACTACATTGTTTTGTCACACTTTGAAACAATTTTGTAAATGAAGAAAAATGATTTTAAACTAGTAAACAAATCTTTTAATGAAACTTAATTAATATGTCCAGATAATTTAAGTGCACTTTTTAACCTGTATTGACCTTCAAATTTGATTAAAAATTCATTTTTTACAAACCAACACTTTCACAAAGCTATTTAAGGGTTTAAGCCTTTGAATAAAATTGCATTGCATGTAGACTCTCATTTTTTTTTAGAGGATTTTCAAAAAACTCGCATACTCTGTAATTTAGCAAAGTCAAATTTTGACATAAAGTTTAACACACCATTGATGGAGGGTTTTTTGTAATGGTATAGTTAAAAATGACTGACTCAATAATTTGACACACTATTAGAGATGTTGTAGGTACAATAAATATCATTGGAAATCAATCAAGCTTGCTTCAAATTAGGCTTTTATCATGGCACGAGCACGCTAACCAAATGTTGTTAACTAGTTGGCAGTGATCAAAACTTATTTTCCACAAGAAATACATTAATATTCTTTGACATGGCTTTAAACAGTTTCTTTAAAATTGTATTGATTTTCATATGATGAGTGAATTGCAAAGTGTGGCATGAAAAATGAGCTGTCGACATTTGGTGATGTGTACAAGGGTTTACTGGGAAGAAGAGACCTACTGATATGTTTAACATTAGTCCGAGTCTCCATCACTTTGCTAAGATGGCTTTGCCTGAACAAATAGCAAGCATTGTTGATCCAACATTGTTTCAACAAAGAGAAAATGGGAAGGCAAGCTCAAGTATCAACAACACTCAGAATCATAGCTCTCCTAGGCATCCACGAATTCAGGAGTACTTGATTTCAATACTTAATGTTAGAATTGCCTGCTCACAAGAGCTACCAACAGATCGACAGGCCACAAATTGATTTTTGTTGGGTAGTTGATATACAAACAGGAAAAATGGTGTGAACTGGAAAACAAAGTGGTGTGCAAATAGAAGCTCCCACTTGCAAATGGCCAGACGAGGATTACGTGCCATGGCAATACTACCCTCTAACTCCATGCACAACAAATTGCTGCAAAACACCTGTGTTGTAGATTCAAATATGTAGAGGACCATGCAAAGTATTTTTGTCAAAATAAGTTAATTCCTAGTTTATAAAACCCTATTAACTATCCTTATTTTTGCACACACCACCAACCCAGAAAGCATGGCCACAACGGTAGCTTCATGTGAAATCATATCATTGACTTCACAAACCCTAAAAGTATTCGAGTCAATCATCCATCCTTATCAGATACTTTTGCAACCAGCAGAAGTACAGAAACAGGATAAATCAGATTACATAGAATGGAAAGCTAAATATTAACTCACTTCTACAAAATTACTTGCAACAGACAAAAATTTGGATGCCAACATGCACAACAAAGTCAGCTACCTCAATATGCTGTTATTCAGTCACCAGTAACTTCTTTGTTTACCTCGGAGCTAATTGGTATCAGCCCATAGAGACAGATACGAAGATCACCTTGAACTAGTCGTGGGTGCAAGTAGTTCTTATACAAGTCCCAGAACTCATCTCTGTCACACCACACAAATAAATGAGAAACAAATTAACAATATTTATGACAAAGACGTGGTTGTTCTGGATTCTAAATTAACAATGTTTAAGAAAAAGAAAGAAATAACATACAAGATGACAATGGTAAAAGGAAAACAGGGACAGAGATTGGTAAACTTATAGTCAAACCTGACTTGAGGAAGTGTGAATAAGGAATAACCCTTAACATCAGTTTGCATGTCAAGCACAATCACTGCTAATCGTGTTAATCCCAGTGCCTCCATATCAATCAATTTCTTGATCCTAAAACAAATTTGAGATTTTACAAAATCATTTTATACAACTTAATAGGTTAATGAACCCAAACGAAAAAGACTAAAAAATAAAGATAAATGATATTTCACTTGTCACCACAACAGCATAATCGACAAAGTAGATTGAAATGCAAAGCCCGCTAATTAAGGAGAAAAAAAATTATAAATTAGATCTGCATAATGGAATGGAGAAGATCCATTCCAAAAACACAAATGAACAAAAAATAACAAGGTTCTTTGTTTGGGTGAACAAGGAAATAAATGCACAGGAAGTAAAAAGGATGAGAGTAAGTTGGCTCCTATGACTCAAGTCCTATAAAAAGAGGTCTTCCCCTCCTTGGGCAGCAAGCAATTTTCAAAAGATAAACAGTTTCTCTATACAGCAGAGGCACTCCTCCCTCGGTGTCACTCTCTCTCTCTCTAAGATTGCTTCAGCTCCCTCCCTCTCCAACTACAAAGGGCGAACGCCAGCTTAGTGACAACTATGATTTTCAGAGGACTCACAGTCTGTCACATCATCAATGATCGCTCACAATACAAAACCGTTACATAAAAAACAAACACAGGAGTAGTAAACTAAACTAAAAAGAAGTTGAAATTTATATACAAGGCAACATGATACAACTTGCATGCATAAACACAGAAAAACTCAAGGATGAAGATAAGAAAATACCAAATGAAGAAACCTAAATTTGGCATGTAGGTTTGATCAGAAAGGGTAAGAGAATCACACCCTAGTGCAATGCTTGCAGCACTATCAATTTATCACTCTCACTTCTTTCTAACCTTATTCCAACTAAAATACATTGCCTCCTAAATTTAGCTACCAAAACAAAGACTAGTTTACTTACCTATCTCAAAGACCCAAAAATAATCAAGGACCTCGACTGTAACAACCCGAAAATTTAAGTTGTCCCTTAAATTTTATATTAATATTATTTAATTATAAATAATTTCAAAAAAATAATTTTAACTTTATATTATTATTCGAAATTATTTTCTGAGTATTATGGTATTTTTATTATATTTTTCTTTATATTTTTCCTAGACTAAAATACACTGAAATGTAACATTTTCTATACAACAAACGACTTGCGTCCCAAGCAGTCTTGCTCCACACGCCTTCACTATATATATATAGCTATCCATCAACACTCTTAGTCTCTCTCTCTGCCTCTAATTGCTTGGTTTATATATAAAACTTTGAGTTTAGTTTGGAGGATTTAGTGAGTCACAGTGAACGAAAGGTAAAAGTTAGAATTAACAATAAGGTGAGTTATACTATACCTTGAGTCACCATAATCTGTTTTACGTATATTTTGAGTTACCATAGTTTATTTTATGTAAATTGTATTTTATAAATTATATTAGCATTTTTAATTTATAAGCCTTATTTTATATAATAAGGAAAACCCGTGGATATAACTATTTATTAAAATATGTTTTGAATAATTGTTTTGTAAGTATCACCACGGGAGTCCCATGCCTTGGTGGACTTAAATAACCAATGGCCCTTTGATTAGTCACTTTGTAACCCTCTGTCTATCATGGATCCACTGACACTCTGATTTTTGGTGTGGAGCAAAGTATTGTACGGAGCTAAGTGTTACACTATTGTGGGAGCCACCTCTTGAGTTCATACATTTGTCCGATTCTATACCGTGGTTATGACTTCTAGTGTGGAGCAAAGTGCTATACGGAACTAAGTGCTACACTATGGTGGGAGCCACCTCTAGAGTTCGTATGAGCCATCTCTTGAGTCTATACATCTGTTATGTTCCGTTCTGTACCGTGGTTATGATTATGTATACGATTTCCGTATTTGATCTCTGTATTATATATTCTGTATTTTAATATCAAGCTCTGTTTAGCCAATAATTATCCATGGTGAATTTTATGCCCTTATACTCTTAGTATAATATGTCTCACTCTGCCATGTACTTATAGTTGTTTACCACTTTCAGATGATATGTCAGGGCCAGCGCGTGGGGTAGGCACGAAACACTTTGTAGAGATAGTTTAGCTCTGACAAGTTAATTAACTTGTGCCTTTTTTTTAGCATGTTTGTATACTGATTTGAGGTTTTCCATATACTTTAAATATTCATATTTTTTGTCCCTCTTCAATGTTGTAGAAGGAAATTTTTCAGTTTGGGTTTTGCTTATATCACTTGCTTCATTACCCCTCTCTTGGCCCCTATTCTTGCATGCCATTTTTGCCATACCTATGCTTGCTGTTTGGCCATGTTTATAACTGCGAAAATGCCTTTTTTGGGACTGTCTAGCTTCTGTATTTGCATTGCATGTCCATATTGTGCATGTTTGGCATAGCTATAGGCCATTTCGGGTGCCTAAATTCGCATTTCAGGACAATTCCATGCATTTGGTGCCATTTCGCCTCATTTCGGGACTGTTTTCCCCCATATATTAGTGCTGAAATTCTATTAGAATGATTTCTATTCATTTCATGTCGTTACATCGCATTCTATCATTGCCTCGGTTTGCGTGCCCGTGTGCATGCATTTCGAGGCACTTCATTTTTCGTCCATCGGCATCCTATGTGAGTGTGGCTGAGGCTCACTCATGTTGGTATAAGCCCATATCATGTTTTCATGTCATTACATCGCATTCTG